GACTCTGGGGGACTCTGGGGGACTCTGGGGGACTCTGGGGGACTCTGGGGGACTCTGGGGGACTCTGGGGGACTCTGGGGGACTCTGGAGGACTCTGGGGGACTCTGGGGGACTCTGGGGGACTCTGGGGACTCTGGACTCTGGGGACTCTGGAGGGACTCTGGAGGACTCTGGGGGACTCTGGACTCTGGGGACTCTGGGGACTCTGGGGGACTCTGGGGACTCTGACTCTGGGGACTCTGGGGACTCTGGGGGACTCTGGGGGACTCTGGGGGACTCTGGGGGACTCTGGGGGACTCTGGGGGACTCTGGGGGACTCTGGGGGGAGGACTCTGGGGGACTCTGGGGGACTCTCTGGGGACTCTGGGGGACTCTGGGGACTCTGGGGACTCTGGGGACTCTGGGGACTCTGGGGAACCCTGGAGGACTGGTCTTTTACTGGATTTAGTGATTTGGAGTGAGATGGAGAGTTTGTTCAACTTGTTCTGTTGTTTATAGTTTATCTGAAGAACTGTCAAATATGTGACAGTGTGAACAGTCTGTTCTTCTCTCTTCGTTTGTTTTTACTACAACTTCACTTTACACAGGAAATATCTGCTCCTGATCTCTCATTTTATTAAATACATTTCCACCTTAAAGTGCCACTTATGTTTTTTCTTTTTCATTACAAATTTTTTAGCTGGTGCGACTTACAGTCTGAAAAGTGCAGTACACACATTATGCAGTAGTTCAGGGGTGTCAAACATACGGCCCGGGGGCCAGATCCGGCCCTCCAAGACCTTTAATCTGGCCCTTAGGTGATTTTCTACTCAAATATTTGAATGATATTTTCTATTAAAATCTTGTTAATTTTTTGTGGTGTTTATCACAGCAGCGTCTCCAGCGTCTCTGTACGTGGCCCCTCCCACCAGAGCAGCACAAATGAAGACTTGTCTCTTTCCAAACGCTCTTAAAGGACGATCGTTTTGACTGTTGACCGTGACACCCTCATCAGAAAAATGTCCAACATGAGAAAAGTGGAGCCGAGTGCAGGATTTTACAACAAAAATGGACTTATTCCTGTTTACAGACAAGTTCATGTTCAAACTTTGTGTTGAAATTGAATTTTTCTTAAAGTTTCAGGTTGTTCATAATATTATAATATTTGGTAAAAGAAAGAGTTCATCAGTTAAAAAAGATTTCTGTAATAGATTTGTGTTTCTCTGCACAAATATTTGAACTTATTGTTATTTTTGGGGTTTATATGACATGAGTTTTCTGATCCGGACACTTTGGATCAAAGTCGGTTGGACACGACCCCCGGAACAAAATGAGTTTGACACCCCTGCAGTACTGCAGTAGTGCAGTAGTAGTACTGCAGTAGTGCAGTAGTGCAGTAGTGCAGTAGTAGTACTGCAGTAGTGCAGTAGTAGTACTTTATATGAAGTACCTTTTTGGCCATAGCCTCAGACTCCTCTGAGCTCTCGGTGTTTTTCTCATACGCTTTTCCAACTCGAGCCACGAAGTCCTTCACCGTCTCACACAGAACCCTGACACACACACACACACACACACATTAACACACATGTACACATACACACACAGATACAGATACACACAGATTCACACAGATACACACACACACACACACACACACACACAGAAGAAGAAAGAGCACAGAGTTAAAGCCACACACTGTCACTTTTCGGGCATAAACTAAACTAAAATAATGACGTGAATGAACTGATTTTTATTTTATTTGTTTGGATTTTTATGTCTCTGAAAAACGGTGCGTCCTGACTGTGAGCTGCTCGCCTCTCCACAAACCCGACTCCTGCCCATTCCCATGGAAATGTTTTTCCCTTGGCTTTAATATTCCACAGTATGGCATTAATCTACAGTAACTGAGGCAAAAGACTTTTACGAGACGTCCAGGAGGAAAGTGACGTCACTCTGGGGCTGTTCTACATGTACGTCTACGGTGGGAAGTTCAGCTAAGTCAAGTCGAGTCATTTCCCGTGTGGCTCGTTAAAGTTAAAGTTTAAGTCTAAGTTTCCATGGCGACACAACACACACTCGAAAACGTTTAAGATCGTCTGAAAACTCAAGAAAAAAACAAACAAACAGGATAAATATCAAAAGTTCTTCTGTCATAAAACTCTTCTATCTCCATGGAAAATGTTCCGAAGTGCGGTTTTACATTTGTAACCTGCAGAAAGTCCCGCACTGTGGCTTTAATGTGGTGATAAAATGAGAAGAAGATGATGAAGAGGTGTTTTTACTTTGCAGAGGAGATGACCACAGAGTGCTGGTCCGAGGTCAGGATCTTAGACAGATGAGCCGCCACCGAGTCCTCGTAAGTCAGGATCTGAGGGACCTGAGGGACCGGAGGGACCAGGAGCGGGGAGTTAGTTAAAATAAAAGAGTGAAATGTGTAAATCTTTAAGTGTTTAAAGTGTCACCTCTGAGTCATCGCTGCACTCCTCTGTCACCGTCGACGTGGAGTGTTGCCGCGGCAACTTAGTCTCATACACCATAATACTCCACCTACAGGAGGACAGAGGAACTACACTTTACACTTTATACTCCACCTACAGGAGGACAGAGGAACTACACTTTATACTTTATACTCCACCTACAGGAGGACAGAGGAACTACACTTTACACTTTATACTCCACCTACAGGAGGACAGAGGAACTACACTTTATACTTTATACTCCACCTACAGGAGGACAGAGGAACTACACTTTATACTTTATACTCCACCTACAGGAGGACAGAGGAACTACACTTTATACTTTATACTCCACCTACACACTTTCTGAGCTTTCTGTCCACACTTCTGTTATGCGTCCTCATTTTTGACATTTTATCCTCATTTCGGACGCTCGGACGCCGGTGTTGCATGCATCACCACAAATCCCCGCCCATATTTCACCTGCGACGCTGCGATAGTCGTGTTTGAAACTGCTGTTGAACAAAAGCAAACGCCTAAAAGGAAGTCGTCCTTCAAACACGCTCGGTGCTCAGATCAGGTTTTGCCAGCAGGAGCACCACAGGAGAACACTCTGTCTTGTGTATCATCTGAGCCCGGACAGAACCAGAGCTGCTCCCGCTGGGTCTGGACTCTGGGTCTGGACTCTGGGTCTGGACTCTGGGTCTGGACTCTGGGTCAGGACTCTGGGTCTGGACTCTGGGTCAGGACTCTGGGTCTGGACTCTGGGTCTGGACTCTGGGTCAGGACTCTGGGTCTGGACTCTGGGTCTGGACTCTGGGTCTGGACTCTGGTCTGGATCTAGTCCGACTGTATTTCTCACATTTAGGCTAAAATCAGGACATTTTTAAAGTTGAATCAATTGAACAGGCTCTTATTGACATAAAATGATTTGGTTAATTAAAGCCTAAAATAACAAAAGCTGTTGTTACGTGAACATGAGGAACACCGAGTCGTCTCTGTGAGTGCAGGTCCTGACCAGAGGTACACACCCCAGTTTAGACTCACTCTGGAGCCACACGTTCACACACTGGTTCTTGCTCAGTTCATCGTGTGTTTCATTCTCTGTTTTGGTCGTTGTTGGTAAAATAATTCTAAAATGAATCACGTCTGCGTCTGGACAATAATCTGTTTTTGCTCTGGAGTCGTCCAGCGCGTCGTTTCAGAGGAGACGTGTTTCTCCCATGATGCATCTGGAATAGTTGGTCTGGACCTGCTGTCTGTGGTTTGGACCCGAGTTCAGGTTCACACCAGAGGAACCGACCCAGAGTTTGACATTTGGTTTGGATTCAAGCGAACCGAGACCACCTCTTTTTTGAGGTCTCGGTCTGTTTGATTTAGTCCGAGTCTTGAGTCCGATTGAAGCTTTCACACCAACGAAAACAAACTAAGAACTTTTGGTTCGAATGGACCGTTTGGTGCAACAACAAATACTGGTTAGTTTAGTTTAGTTTATTAAGATCCCCATCAGCTACTGAAACATCAGCAGCTGTTCTTCCTGGGGTCTCCTCAAATTCATTACATACAAACTGTTATATAACACATAAACTTTACACACAGAGACACAGGCACACACACACACACACACACACACACACACACACACAGACACACACACACACAGACACACACACACACAGACACACACTCACACACACACAGAGACACACACACACACAGACACACACACACACACACACACACACACACACAGACACACACACAGACACACACACACACACACACACACACACACAGACACACACTCACACACACACAGAGACACACACACACACACACACACAGACACAGACACACACAGACACACACACACACACACACAGACACACACACACACACAGACACACACACACACACACACACACACACACACACACACACACACACACACACACACACACACAGACACACACACACACACACACACACACACACACACACACACACAGACACACACACAGACACACACACACACACACAGAGACACACACACACACACACACACAGAGACACACACACAGACACAGACACACACACACACACACACACACACACACACACACACACACACACACACACACACAGACACACACACACACACACACACACACACACACACACACACAGACACACACACACACACACACGATAACAAGACATGAAAGCTCAATGTTTAGGCAAAGTAATAAGTAAAATGTAAAAATAAACAATTAAAACAGATATCAAAAACAATAATACATAAATAAACAGTAAATAATCATTGTGTAAAACGGAACAGTTTTAACTTTTTTTGAAAAAGCTTTTTGTTATTTTCAAACAACAAAAATGCTGCCAGTGCGTTCCATGCAGCCACGGCACGATAACTAACAGTTCGCTGCATTTGATTGGTTCTGCACACAGGAAATACACCACTTATATTTGGACTTTGACGGGTTTCGTAATTGTGGGTATCTGAGAAAAACACTAATTAGTTAATAATTATTTCTGGGATTTTAATTAAAATTCTATTTCTAATAAAAGTTAATAAATGGTACCTGAATCTGGATTTTACAGTCAGCCAGGCCGACTCATCGTGCACAGTGAGAGTCTGTGTGAAAGAACCCCAAGTGTGCTAATTTTCAGAGTCATGCCGGTGGTCACCCTACCCCTGACCCCTGACCCCGGCGTGACCCCCGGCGTGACCCCCGGCGTGACCCCGGCGTGACCCCCGGCCCCCGTGACCCCGGCGTGACCCCCCGTGACCCCGGCGTGACCCCCGGCGTGACCCCTGGCGTGACCCCCGGCGTGACCCCGGCGTGACCCCGGCGTGACCCCCGGCGTGACCCCCGGCGTGACCCCGGCGTGACCCCCGGCGTGACCCCGCCCTCACCTGTCGAGCATCTTGGTGGAGGCTCGTTCCAGTTTCTCCAGGATCTGAGGCAGCTGAGCGTCGTCGTCACAGGCGGCGCCCCAACCCAGAACCCGAGCCAGGTCATTCCCCGTCCCCAGAGGAAGCACGCCCAGCTGACACTGCACACACACACAGACATACACACACAGAGAATTACACCTGATGCCCTCCCACACGCCCAGCTGACACTGCACACACACACAGACATACACACACAGAGAATTACACCTGATGCCCTCCCACACGCCCAGCTGACACTGCACACACACACACAGACATACACACACAGAGAATTACACCTGATGCCCTCCCACACGCCCAGCTGACACTGCACACACACACACAGACATACACACACAGAGAATTACACCTGATGCCCTCCCACACGCCCAGCTGACTCTGCACACACACACACAGACATACACACACGACACCTGATGCCCTCCACACGCCCAGCTGACACACACAGAGACATACACACACAGAGAATTACACCTGATGCCTCCCCATGCCCACTGACACTGCACACACACACAGACATACACACACAGAGAATTACACCTGATGCCCTCCCACACGCCCAGCTGACTCTGCACACACACAGAGACATACACACACAGAGAATTACACCTGATGCCCTCCCACACGCCCAGCTGACTCTGCACACACACACAGAGACATACACACACAGAGAATTACACCTGATGCCCTCCCTGTGTGTCAGGTGCCCTCCCTGTGTGTCAGAGTGTGTCAGGTTCCCTCCCCGTGTGTCAGAGTGTGTCAGATGCCCTCCCCGTGTGTGTCAGGTGCCCTCCCCGTGTGTCAGGTTGCGTCAGATGCCCTCCCACCTGCTTGTGGAGCATGAGGGCGTCGATCTCGGACAGGACCCAGCCCACGCTCCCGTCTCCTCCACACACCAGGATCCTGAAGGTGTCGAACCTCTGGAACAGACGCAGCCTGAACGCAAAAGTGACAGAGTGGAGCTTTAAAAGGACAGGAGAGACAGGGCGGTGGGAGAGAGGCTCCTGCGCTGGTGAAAGGACAGATCTGAGTCACAGAGTCTAGAGTCTGAAAAGTGTTTGGACACAAACTCATCAGTGATTCTTTTGTGTTTGTCACGTTTTACATTTTACACACAAACAGAAAACAACATGAGTCACACACACAGACTCTACACACGACGCTACACACACAAAGTGAGTATGAGCACGACTCAGCTCCACCACAGCCAGAGGTCCTCTCTCTGTAAGTACTGCAGTATATTTTAGTACTGGGCCCGGTCAAACAGAAATAAACAACAAGGCCAAAAATTCAAGTGAATTCATGTGATATAAAAGTGTATTGAACAGATACATATGTACTCTAGTTTATGAAACTGTTTGACCTTTTTTCTGTTCCATTTTTGGTTCTAAAGTTCCATCCGTTTTAAACAGACCATGTATGAAACATGGAACAAAAAATTATTGTGAAAATTTCAATCATATCTTGTGTTATTCCATCTTTGAACTGTTAATGATCGACATGATTTAAAAAAAAAAAAAAGTATTTAAAATGATAAAAAATGTTCTTGGAAGGACTGACATATTTTATAGAAATAGTTTCTTTCATTTTGAAGTAATATTAAAATATTCAGAAGAAAAAAGTGACAAATGATGTAAAATCCTGCACCTTCTACTTGTTTGTACAATTTTCCCTCCGTTACTTTTCCCTCCGTTACCATGAACTTTCTTAATAAAAAATCTCATGAGTCAAAAAGTCAGAGGTTTTTCAACCTAATCTTGTACCATATGGTAGAAAACTATATGAAGCAAATATTCAAACCAGTTTGTTCAGGATATGGAAGTGAGAACCAAGAGTTATCACTGTTTGGATTTATTGTATTTCATTCCCTCCGTTACCGACATGAGTTTTTTACATTTTTTGTGTTGAACTTGAAAGAATCTCACAGGTTTAACTTGACCCTGTTGGAGTGTAACTCTTTCCTACATTCTGATACTTTACTTATTTCAATAGTTCCTCTAGTTTCTGAATAAGAAACATTTGAATGTCAAAAATCTGACCCTGTTTCCTCCGTTACCACTTGACCAGACCCAGATGTAGTATATTGTAGTACTGCAGTAGTAGTAGTAGTAGTAGTGTAGTATAGTGTGTAGTACTGCAGTATAGTAGTAGTAGTGCAGTAGTATTGTGTGTATTACAATAGTATGGTGTGTAGTACAGTAGTACAGTGTGTAGTACAGTAGTATAGTGTGTAGTACAGTAGTATAGTGTGTAGTACAGTAGTATAGTGTGTAGTACAGTAGTATAGTAGTAGTACAGTAGTATAGTGTGTAGTGCAGTAGTATAGTAGTAGTACAGTAGTATAGTAGTAGTACAGTAGTATAGTGTGTAGTACAGTAGTATAGTGTGTAGTACAGTAGTATAGTGTGTAGTGCAGTAGTATAGTAGTAGTACAGTAGTATAGTAGTACAGTAGTATAGTGTGTAGTACAGTAGTATAGTGTGTAGTACAATAGTATAGTGTGTAGTGCAGTAGTATAGTAGTAGTACAGTAGTATAGTAGTACAGTAGTATAGTGTGTAGTACAGTAGTATAGTGTGTAGTACAATAGTATAGTGTGTAGTGCAGTAGTATAGTAGTAGTACAGTAGTATAGTAGTACAGTATATAGTGTTAGTACAGTAGTGTGTAGTACAGTCAGTCAGACCTCCACAGCACTGAGACTGCTCTTATCAAGGTGACAATATGACATCCGCCTGAACACTGATGCAGGCAAAGTCTCAGTCTTGATCCTGTTAGATCTGAGTGCTGCTTTTGACACTGTCGATCATGGATCCTCTTACAGAGACTAGAGGACTGGGTGGGCATCTCTGGTACTGTACTAAACTGGTTCAAGTCCTATCTAGAAGACAGGAAGTATTTTGTTGAAATTGGAAACTGTGTCTCAGATGACATGGCCCTGACCTGTGGGGTGCCTCAGGGGTCAATCCTGGGCCCCCTGTTGTTCAATCTCTACATGCTGCCCCCTACAGGCCAGTTAATAAGCAGCAATAACGTGTCCTACCACAATTATGCAGACGACACTCAGATCTACGTCTCTCTGGCAGCAGGAGACTATGGACCAGTGGAGTCACTTGGTCACTGCATCCAACAGATCAGTGTGTGGATGCAAAACAACTTTCTCCAGCTAAACTCTGACAAGACTGAAGTCATAGTGTTTGGTCCACAGAAACAAAGGGACAGTGTCAGCATCACCTCCAGTCTCTCTCTCTAAAACCTTCAAATCAGGCAAGAAATCTCGGGGTAATAATGGACTCAGACTTGAACTTTAACAGCCACATCAAATCAATAACATCTGCAGCCTTTTACCATCTAAAAAACATAGCAAAAATCAAAGGTTTACTGTCTAAATCAGACTTGGAGAAACTTATCCATGTGTTTGTCTCCAGTAGGTTAGATACTGTAATGTTCTGCTCACTGGTCTCTCCAAACGAGCTGTGAGACGCTGCAGAACATCCAGAACATCCAGAACATCCAGAACATCCACAACATCCAGAACATCCAGAACATCCAGAACGCTGCAGCTCGGGTCCTTACTCGAACTAGGAAGTACGAGCACATAAGTCCTGTGCTCAGGTCTCTGCTCTGGCTCCTGTGCCTCAGAGAATAGACTTTAAAGCAGCTCTGCTTGTGTACAAGTCTCTCCATGGCCGAGCACCAAAGTCCATCTGTGACATGTTAGTGTCATATGAACATCTCACACTCTGAGGAGCTCAGGGACGACCTCCTGCTGGTGCCCAGAGTCACGAACTAAACAAGGGGAGTCAGAGTTTCAGGTTCATGCAGCTAAAACCTGGAACAGTCTGAACATGTGAGACAGACTCTTCTGTGACGCTGTTTAAATCCAGACTCAAAACATTTCTGTTTAACTGTGCAAATAACTGAAAGGTTTTCATTCCGCACTCTTCTCTCTTTTTTAATTTTAATCTTCATGATTATTTATGTTTTGATTTGTTTTTATTATGATTTTAATGTATTTCTTATTCTGTAAAGCACTTTGAATTACTTTGTGTATGAATTGTGCTATACAAATAAACTTGCCTTGCCTTGCCTATAGTGTGTAGTGCAGTAGTATAGTGTGTAGTACAGTAGTATAGTGTGTAGTACAGTAGTATAGTAGTAGTACAGTAGTATAGTGTGTAGTACAGTAGTATAGTAGTAGTACAGTAGTATAGTGTGTAGTATAGTAGTAGTACAGTAGTATAGTGTGTAGTACAGTAGTATAGTGTGTAGTACAGTAGTATAGTAGTAGTACAGTAGTATAGTGTGTAGTACAGTAGTATAGTAGTAGTACAGTAGTATAGTGTGTAGTACAGTAGTATAGTGTGTAGTACAGTAGTATAGTGTAGTGTAGTACAGTAGTATAGTGTGTAGTACAGTAGTATAGTGTGTAGTACAGTAGTATAGTAGTAGTACAGTAGTATAGTGTGTAGTACAGTAGTATAGTAGTAGTACAGTAGTATAGTGTGTAGTACAGTAGTAGTAGTAGTACAGTAGTATAGTGTGTAGTACAGTAGTATAGTAGTAGTACAGTAGTATAGTAGTAGTACAGTAGTATAGTGTGTAGTACAGTAGTATAGTAGTAGTACAGTAGTATAGTAGTAGTACAGTAGTATAGTAGTAGTACAGTAGTATAGTGTGTAGTACAGTAGTATAGTAGTAGTACAGTAGTATAGTAGTAGTAGTACAGTAGTAGTAGTAGTAGTGTGTAGTACAGTAGTATAGTAGTAGTAGTAGTACAGTAGTATAGTGTGTAGTAGTACAGTAGTATAGTAGTAGTACAGTAGTACAGTAGTATAGTAGTAGTAGTACAGTAGTATAGTAGTGTGTAGTACAGTAGTATAGTAGTAGTAGTAGTACAGTAGTATAGTAGTAGTAGTACAGTAGTATAGTAGTAGTAGTAGTAGTAGTAGTAGTAGTGTAGTACAGTAGTATAGTAGTATAGTAGTACAGTAGTATAGTGTGTAGTACAGTAGTATAGTAGTAGTAGTATAGTAGTAGTACAGTAGTATAGTAGTAGTACAGTAGTATAGTAGTGTGTAGTAGTACAGTAGTATAGTGTGTAGTAGTAGTAGTAGTACAGTAGTATAGTAGTATAGTACAGTAGTATACAGTAGTAGTGTAGTACAGTAGTATAGTAGTAGTAGTAGTGTACAGTAGTATAGTAGTAGTAGTAGTAGTAACAGTAGTATAGTGTGTAGTACAGTAGTATAGTAGTAGTACAGTAGTATAGTGTGTAGTACAGTAGTATAGTAGTAGTACAGTAGTATAGTAGTAGTAGTAGTACAGTAGTATAGTAGTACAGTAGTACAGTAGTATAGTAGTAGTACAGTAGTATAGTAGTACAGTAGTATAGTGTGTAGTACAGTAGTATAGTAGTAGTGTAGTACAGTAGTATAGTAGTGTAGTACAGTAGTATAGTGTAGTAGTAGTAGTATAGTAGTATAGTAGTAGTATAGTAGTAGTGTAGTACAGTAGTATAGTAGTAGTACAGTAGTATAGTAGTAGTACAGTAGTATAGTGTGTAGTACAGTAGTATAGTGTGTAGTACAGTAGTATAGTAGTAGTACAGTAGTATAGTGTGTAGTACAGTAGTATAGTGTAGTAGTATAGTAGTAGTACAGTAGTATAGTAGTAGTACAGTAGTATAGTGTGTAGTACAGTAGTATAGTAGTAGTACAGTAGTATAGTGTGTAGTACAGTAGTATAGTAGTAGTACAGTAGTATAGTGTGTAGTACAGTAGTATAGTAGTAGTACAGTAGTATAGTGTGTAGTACAGTAGTATAGTAGTAGTACAGTAGTATAGTGTGTAGTACAGTAGTATAGTAGTAGTAGTACAGTAGTATAGTAGTAGTATAGTATAGTAGTACAGTAGTATAGTGTAGTAGTAGTAGTAGTACAGTAGTATAGTAGTAGTAGTAGTAGTATAGTGTGTAGTTAGTACAGTAGTATAGTAGTAGTAGTACAGTAGTATAGTGTGTAGTAGTACAGTAGTATAGTAGTAGTATAGTAGTAGTACAGTAGTATAGTGTGTAGTACAGTAGTATAGTAGTAGTAGTAGTACAGTAGTATAGTAGTAATACAGTAGTATAGTGTGTAGTATATACCCGAGGTGAGGTCCTCCGTTCATCAGGTCGAACACTTGTGCCGGGTTGAGGAGTTGTTTGAATCGTCGGAGAAACTTGACTCCCTGATTGTCTCCACTTTTGGAGTTGACGAAGACGAGGAGCGGAGACGTGCAGGAGGGAGGACACGACGCCTTCCAGAACCCTGCAGGACAGACACACACGAGAACATACACACACGGTGAACCAAACACACACAGGAACATACACACACACACATACACACACACGCAGTGAACCAAACACACACAGGAACACACACACGGGTTTACGGTGAACAAATCAAACACACCTTCAACAAACACAACACACTTCAATCACACAAATAACAACATAAACAAATGAACTGACAGTGAGAGTATGAACTGTAGTACTAAGTACTAGTACTAGTACTGTTGTGTACTTGTGTTGCAGTAGTAGTACTGTTGTGTAGTAGTAGTGTTGTTGTGTGGTAGTAGTGTTGTTGTTGTGTAGTAGTGTTGTTGTGTAGTAGTAGTGTTGTTGTGTAGTAGTAGTGTTGTTGTGTAGTAGTAGTGTTGTTGTGTAGTAGTAGTAGTAGTTGTGTGTAGTAGTGTTGTTGTGTAGTAGTAGTGTTGTTTGTGTGGTAGTAGTGTTGTTGTGTAGTAGTAGTGTTGTTGTGTAGTAGTAGTGTTGTTGTGTAGTAGTGTAGTAGTGTGTGGTAGTAGTGTTGTTGTGTAGTAGTAGTGTTGTTGTGTAGTAGTAGTGTTGTTGTGTAGTAGTAGTTTGTTGTGTAGTAGTAGTATAGTTGTGTGGTAGTAGTGTTGTTGTGTAGTAGTAGTGTTGTTGTGTAGTAGTAGTGTTGTTGTGTAGCAGTAGTACTGTTGTGTAGTAGTAGTACTGTTGTGTAGTAGTACTGTTGTGTGGTAGTAGTGTAGTTGTGTAGTAGTAGTGTTGTTGTGTAGTAGTAGTG